ACAATGCTGTTAAAACAAATGAGGCATTAGAGGTTCTAGAAAAATAAGAAACCACAATCCAAAATATGAGAACCCCTGTTTCAGATGCTGTCAACATGATGGAGTGACACATGAGCAGAGTTGAAGAGATGGAACACAGAACCAATTAGACAGAAGATTGAACTGTCACCACGGATCTGCTAGAATAAAAAGCAGACTCAAAAAGGAAGGAAAAAGGAGAAAAACCAAGAACAAAGTGGGACACCATCAAGAAAAATGACATGTGCATCATCAGAATTTCAGGACAGGAAGAAGCAAGTAAAGGAATAGAAAAAGTTGTGGAAAAATTACTAGAAGAAAATTTCCCAGGCATAATGATGAATGAGAGGCTATATAGTCAAGAAGCTGAGAGAACACCATATAGAATAGACCTCAAAAGAAAAACACCAAGGCATCTCATAGTCATATTTGCCAGAACCAAAGATAAGGAGAGAATTCTGAAAGCAGTGAGGGAGAAACAAAGAATAACCTATAAGGGAGGGCAAATAAGATTATGTGCCAATTTCTCAGCAGAAACCATGTGAGCAAAAAGACAATGGAATGACACATATCAAACACTCAAAGAATGCAACTGTCAACCAAGAATATTAAAATATGTAAAAATGTCCATCAAATATGAAGGAGAGACCAAGATATTCCCAGAAAAACAGAACCCAAGGGAGTTTGCAAAAACAAGACCAGCATCCCAGGAAACACTGAGAGGTATCCTTCTTACAGAGGTGCCACAGAAAACAGAATGGACCAAAGTAACTAGCAACACCACCAAAAAGAACTCAACAAAATGATAGCAACAAAACCTTGCTTCTCAATAATCACACTGAATTTGAATGCACCCCTGAAGAGAAAGAAAGTAGCAGATTGGATAAAACCCCAAAATCCATCAATATGCTGCCTATAAGGGACACACCTGAAAAATGAAGATTAATAAAAGACTAAAAATAAAAGAGTGGGAAAAAATATACCAATCAAATGGCAACCAGAAAAAAGTATGAGTAGTGAGAGAAATCTCTGATAAAATAGATTTCAATGCAAAAACCATCATAAAGGACAAGGAAGGTCACTACATAATGCTTAAAGGGTCTATAGAACAAGAGGACATATTAATAATATGCATCAAATGAAAGACTTGCAATATATATAAAACAAACATTAACAACATTGAAAAAGGAAATATAAAATACTACTATAATAGTTGGAGACTTCAATATACCACTCTCAAGAAAAGATAGAACTTCCAGAAAGAAATAAAAAAAGATGCTGAAGAATTAAACCACAACATAAACCAAGTTGATACCATAGATATTTATAGGCTAATACACCTCCCAAAAAGCACAATATACCTCTTCTCCAATGTATAGGAACATTCTCCAGAATAGTTCACATTTTAGGACACAAGGCAAGCATCAATAAATTCAAAAGCACAGAAATAATATAAAGCATCTTCTCAGAGCACAATTCTACAAAATTAGAAATTAATCACAAGAGGATAGAGGAGAGAAAAAAAAAACATACATTTGGAAGCTGAACAACACCTTGCTTGAACATGAGTGGGTAGTAGAAGAAATAAAAAATGACATTAAAAAGCTTCTTGAAACAAATGAGGATGAAAACATTACTTACAAAAAACCCACAACACCCTCTGGAAAACAGCCAAAGCAGTAATTAGAGGTCAATTTATATCAGTAAGCAGACACAGGAAAAGACAGGGGGAAAATGACCACTGACTCTCTAACCCAAAATCCCCAACAAATTGGAGAACAGCAAGAAATGCTGACACCCTTCAAAAAAACCATGAAATTATAAAAATTCATGCAGAAAGAAATAAAAACAGAAAAACAACTGAAACCATTAACAAAATTAGGAGTTGGTTCTTCGAAAATATCAATAAAAATGGATAAACCACTAGCAAAACTAACAAAAGAAAAGACGGGATAGACACAAATAAACCAAATAAGGGATGAAACACATAATGTCAGAATGAAACCAACTAAAAGGTTAGCAATGAAATCTTATTAAAAACTATACTCAAACAAATATAAAAACCTAGAGGAAATGGACAAAAACCTAGAAAGTCATACCTTACCTAAACTGACACAAATCGGTATTGAACACCTGAACAGACCCATTACAAAAGAAGAAATTGAAAAGGCAATAAAACAACTTCCAGCCCCCATAAAAGCCCTGGACCAGATGGTTTGAAAAGTTAATTTTATCAAACATTCAGAGAAGAACTGTCACCAATTCTACATAAACTATTTCAGAAAATAGAAAAGGATGGAATTCTTCCAGACTCATTCTATGAAGCAACCATATCCCTGATACCACAACCAGGTAAAGACACCACCAAAATAGAAAACTATAGGCCAATATCTCTCATGAACATAGATGCAAAAATGCTGAATAAAATCCTGGCCAATAGAATCCAATGATACATCAAAAAAATAATTCACCATGACTAGGTGGGATTCATAACAGGTATGCAAGAATGGTTCAACATAAGAAAAACAATCAGTGTAAGTCATCACATTAACAAAGCAAAAAACAAGAACCACATGATCCTGTCAACTGATGCAGAAAAACCTTTGACAAAATATAACATGTTTTCCTGATTAAAACACTCAACAAAATAGGAATAGAAGGGAATTTCCTCAACATAGTAAAAAGTATATATGCAAATCTGAAAGCCAACAGTGTTCTCAATGGAGAAAGATTAAAGTCATTCCCTTTAAGAACAGGAACTAGGCAAGGATGCCTACTACCACTTCTCCTATCTTCATGCTAATGCATTCCCAATACAAATACCAATTCCATTCTTCAACGAGATGGAAATGGCAATCTCCAATTTCATTTGGAATGGAAAGAAACCTTGAATAAGCAAAGCACTCCTTAAAAATAGAAAAAAAGGTAGGAGGCATCTCACCCCCTGATTTCATATCCTACTACACTGCTGTGGGGCTCAAGACAGCATGGTACTGGTACAATGACAGACACATAGATCAATGGAATAGAATTGAGAACCCAGAAATCAGCCTATCTACCTATGGTCAACTGATTTTCGACAAGGAGATGAAATCAATTAAATGGAGAAACTACAGCCTTTTTAACAAATGGTGTTGGCCAAATTGGAAAACCATCTGCAGAAAACTCAAATAAGACCCACACCTCACACCATACACAAACCCAACTCAAAGTGGATCAAGGACCTAGGACTAAAACCAAGGACTATAAACTTCTTTAGAGGAAAGACTGGAAGAACCCTAGAAGCACTAATCCACAACTTGAATAGTCTTTCAAGCATTTGGAAAAACTTACAGCCAGGAAAGGATAAAATAGTTGAATGGGACCGTCCAAGAATCAAATCCCTATGCACATCCAAAAACTTTTCCAGCAGGGTAAAAAGGGGCCATAGACTAGGAAAAAAAGATTTGGTAATGATATGTCTGATAAGGGAATTATATCTAGAATTTATAGAATACTCGAATGCCACAACAGGATAAAGGTAAATAACCCAATTGCAAAATGGGCACAGGATATGAACAGATACTTCACCAAAGAAGACATTCAGATGGTGAACAAACACATGAAGAAATGGTCAAAATTCCTAGCTCTAAGAGAGATGCAAATCAAAACAACTATGAGATATCATCACATCCCAGTAAGAGTATTAAAATTTAACAGAGGAGCAAGCAACAAATGGTGGTGAGGTTGTGGAGAAAGTGGAACCCTTATTCACTGCTGATGGGAGTGTAAAATGGTACAACAACTATGGAAGGCAGTGTGGCACGTTCTCAAAAAATTGGAAATAGAAATATCATTTGACCCAGCAATTCTTCTACTGGGAATATTCCTTGAAGAAACCATAACTGCCACCCAAACAGATATATGCACACTCATGTTTACTGCAGCTTTGTTCACAATAGTAAAGAGTTGAAAACAGCCCAAATGCCCATCAACAAATGGATAGAGAAGCTGTGGTATATATAACAGAATGGAATACTATGCAGCACTGAAAAACAAAGAACTAATGAAATATTATACATACAAAAATGGGTGACCATGGAGGACATTATGTTGAGTGAAAGATCTCAGTCACAAAAAGACAAATACTGTATAATACCACTATTATAGAACAGGATTGGTTGCGAGGAAACTTAAAGAGGGGATAAGTAATGTACATGGTATTGAAACAGATGAGGTAGAGAATTGTATAAAAGGAACATATGAATAGGTATTACTGGCACAACAAGAGTTCAGAATAAGAGATGCACAGTAATGTCGTCCAGGGGAGGGGGCACTGTATAATAATGAAAGAACTTTTTTTCCAAAGAAAAAAGCAAACTGTCGGGAAGAAAGAGAGGAAAATGTTTAACAATAAATGGAAATTAAAAAAAAGAATATGTTCAAACCTATTAATACCAAATAAAGTACACATTTTCTAAAACTAATAAAAACTTTAAAAAAAAGTCACTTTGGTCCTTTCCTGTGAAAATGGTCTCAGAACAGCTGAAGCAAATTAAAAGTACATTTTGAGGCAAAGGAATGGCCTCAATATTCTTGAGGGGATTTGTAAGGAAGAGCTTGACTCTCTAAGTCCATGAAGTGAGCACATTAGTGGGCAAATTAGAAATTACATGGGCAGGAAGAGTGGGAATGAATGAATGTGGCAGTTAATGAAGAATGTATGTTCAGGAACCCAGCAAGCAGTGTTGGGGGGAGCTTTTGGCCCCACCTACACTTCCGGTTTACGTCACAGGACAGAAGTCAGAACCCTGGACAGTGTGCCTGCGGTGACAGCTCGCCAAGGAAATGGTGCCCTCGTTGTGCTGTCATCAATGGGCAGCATCTGATGTGGCTGTGAACAACGATGGGGGTTCAGCTGCCCCCAGGCCTCCATCCGCCGCTGCCGCAGCCACTGTCAGCTCATCCCTCCAGGTTCCTGTCCGCTCAATCCACCAGGAACCATGTCTTACCGCAGGGCCACCATCAAGAGCGTGGATATGTTGGAGGAGATGCAGCGTGACGCCTTGCAGTGTGCCTGTGAGGCGCAGGAGACATACAGCCTAGAGAAAGACATCGCAGCCCACATCAAGAAGGAGTTTGACCGGAAGTATGGCCCGATCTGGCATTGCGTAGTGGGGAGCAATTTCGGTAGTTTTGTCACCCACAAAGCCAGGCATTTTATCTACTTTTACCTGGGCCAAACTGCCATTCTCCTGTTCAAATCTGTTTGGAGCCTGTACTCCCCACATGTCTCCATGGGACAATGAAAACTGAGGCCTTACTTCCGGAACGCCTGACCTCCAACTCCTGCCATCACTATCTTCTCACCTTGGTGAGGACACCTAGGCACCACCACCATCTTCTTTCTACTGTATTGTGTGGGAGGGGGCATTCTCTGTAATCTTTAGGCTGTGCTTATAAAACCAACTGGCAACACAACTTAATGTGTGTTTATTTTCTAGTTGCCATGTTTTCCTGCCTCTATTTCTTCTTTCTTTCTTTCCTCAAAATCCTATCTTGAAAAAAGGAGTTAATAGTAATGGAGAGGTGGAAGGAATGATGGGAGGAATGGAGTAGGAAGGGAAGGAGGGGCAAGGGAAGGAAGGAGAAAGGAAAAGAGAGGGAGGAAAGGGGAAGAGAAAAGGAGGGAGTAATAGATGGAAGGAAGAAGAAAGGAGGGATGAAGACAGAAGAAGAGGGGAGAAGATAAAAAATAAGAGGAAGAAAGGGGAAGAGAAGGAGGAAGTAGGGAAAGAGAGAGAGATTGGGGTAAGGTAAGGGGAGAAAAGGAAGGAGGGAGCAGAGAGGGAAAGAAACTATAACTCTGCAAATAAAAGAAAGAATCCATGACAGAACAAGGCTCGAGGTTAGAATCCACCAGCTGCACCTCCAGCGAAAGATGACCCATCTCTTCCCATATGATTTAAAACAATGAGTCTGTTCAGACTTGAAGGTACAGAACAACATCATGATAGAATGGTTTTTCTGTTGGTTAAACCTGGCTCTGTCTTAAAGGATCATGGACGTGATAGTAAATGAGTGTTGTGTAGCATCTAGTCGGAACCAACTCATAGCGGACCTTGCAACACACATTCGGAGGCTGTAAACCTCTGACCATCTCCTCCCCTGCTCCCTCGTGTTATAGCTGGTGGATTTAAACCACCTGTCTTTGGGTTGGTAACACCTTACCACTAAACCACTGTGTGCCTTTGAGTCAGAACTGACCCATAACTGACCTTCCCTCAGGTTTCCAGATGCAGTAAAATTGCACAGGAGAAGATTGCCCGTCTTTCTCTCGCGGAGAAGCTGGTAGATTCAAACCACGTGCCTTTGGGATCAGCGCAACTTCTCATTACTAGGCCACAAAAGCTCTTTAGTAAAGGAGTTGTTGTTGCTATGTGTCACTGGGTCAGTTAGACTCATAGTGACCCTATGAACAACGGCTCTGAATCTTGAGCCAACCTCACCATGGCCGACACACCTAACCCCATTATCAGTCACTATGTCAAATCAGATTCTAGATGAGTAAATGAGTAGAATTCTACAAAGTCAAAGACCCACAGGAGTAGGTCACAGCAAACAAGGCTTGTGGACCAACTAGGAGAAGACCTACTGTGAGGGTTAGCTATGAGTCGGTTCTGAATCAATGGCAATAAGGAGGATTTTTGTGGTTTGTTGTTGTTGTATATAGCAGAGATCCTACACAGTAACTATTTAAAGTTTTTTAAAAATTTAACACAAGTTTATTTTCTAACAGTTTAGGAGGGTTAGTTGTTGTACTATTGAGTCCATCATAGCTGATGCTCCAGTGGCTTTTCAAGGGCAGTTAAAAGCTCAGGAGGAGACTGCCTACCCGCAGGTGGCGTAACGGAACCAATGCCTTTGGGATTGGAGCGCAGCTTCTTACCTTGAGGCCACTCAAAGCTAGAAGGTTTAAGAGGCTAAGAGTCCAAAGTTAGGGTCCTGACCATAGAAAAGGCTTTCATTCTCATCTTCAGATTGTAGGATTTTTTCAGCACAAGAAACCTGAGTCCCGAGGATCTACTTGATAATGCACTATGTAATTTGATTTCTTGATTTCTGTATTCAAATAAAATCAAATCCTTGACAACTTCAATCTTGTCCCCATTTATAAGATGTCACTTATTGAGTCCATTGTGAAGAATTTTGTTACATTTTAAAAACTGGGAAATATCTGGTGTGAAAAACTATGTATACAAATTTTGTAAGTAAACGAGTATAAAAATAAAAATTTCATAAAAAAAAAAGAGAAGCTGGAAAGCAGATGGGTGGACAGTAGGTGGCAGGGCTGAGCAGAGAAGGTGGAAAGTTAAGATTTCCTCTGAAACCAGAGGAACGAGAATTTAAATCTCAGAACCCTGCCAAAGCTCAGGAACTGGAGGCATCATGCACCAAAGATGGCAAGCCAGGCCGAGCTGGATAGGGGGCTAGGTGAGTGTCTACATGGAAGTTAGATTCCCTTTTCCAAGAGGCCTGGGCTCAGGACTTTGGGCACCAGTCTTGGGTTGGGGGACAACTGCCAAAGACAAAACAGGAAAGTTAAGGAAAATCATGAGACCCATTCTGTCTCCTCCAATTCTGAGAACTCTGACAACCATCTGCTTATGAGTATCCCTGCCCAGCTCCCCAGAAGCTGACTGGAAACTGTCTCCAGGAAAGAAGACTGGCACAGTATCAGGTGAGTGAGGTAAGTGCCTGGCACACATGTAAGTGGGGGGGCCTCAAAACCAACCAACCAACCAACCAACAACCAGTAAAACCCTATCCATCATCAAGATGAATGATACTCCAAAGAGATAATTTTTAAATAAAAAAAAACACAAACAAACCAACAAAACACCAAAACAAACCCTAATACCAACATCCGATGAGGAGTAAAACATTCATGTTCTCAAAAATGGCATCTTCCACCCTTCCCTCAGTGTGACACTGCCTCACCCTAACTCTGGCCCTAAGCCCACTAAAACTTTATTTACAAAAACAAGTAGCAGGTCCTTGGTTCATAGTTTGCTGATTTGCTTTTGTTAGACGTCATATAAAAATAGTATTTTTAGATCTTGAATCTTGAGCTTTTTGAAGCCCTCTCAATTTTTGCACTGGAAGAGACTACCTCACTCTCCTCGGCTTGGTCCCAACTCTGGAGGATAGGAAAGACTTTCAGATGACATTGAGGCACACTTGATTTGAAAGCCGACTTGACCCCACTCATCTTGTAAGGAGACTAATCAGTTGTCACACCCTGCCCTTTGCAATTAGAGCCTCCACTCAGCTCCTTGATGCCTCATTATTTAATAGGAAATAATAACAAATGTGTTAATATGTTCAAATCCACCAGCTGCTTGGCAGAAGAAAGATAAGCAGTCTCCTCCCATGAGACTCAGAAACCCAACAGAGGGTCCCCATGAATGGGAACTTGATGGCAAGTGGGCTTTTGGCTTTTAGGTTCCAGTCACCTGAGAAATATGTGTAACCTTAAAGATATAAATAGAAGCCAAGTAACAAGAAATAAGGGAAATAGTAATGAGTAGACCCAGGCTTTCTGGCGGCCAGGCAAGTACTTTATGCTTTATTTTCTTACTGCAGGTCTTACCTTCTGCAAGTCCTTCAAGCACATCTACTCAATTCCAAAATTGGAAAATGTTTGCTTGCATTTTGTCTTCTCTTTTGTAATTTATTTAGCAGCAAAACCTGGTCTGAGTTGATCTATGGCAATTCCCATCTTTATTTACCAAGTTGTGGGAGTATTCTGTGTTCTTGTTGCCTCACATCTGTTGGAGGTGTTTTCTAATGTATAGTGTATGTGTTTTGTAATAGATGGTATATGTGCCATTTTATCTGGCTAAAATAAATGTTCTGACCAGACTTCATTCTGCCCACAGGTTCCAGATAAGAAAACAAATAAGAGAGAGAGGAAGAGAGAGAAAGAGAGAGACTCTTCTATTGGTTATGTCCTTCCCTGGGGACTGTTATGGTTCGAATTATATTCTCCCAAACAATGTGCTGTAAATCCTAACTCTCGTACCTGTGGTTATCATCCCACTTGAGAAAATGGGTTGTCTTTGTTATGTTAGTGATGCAGAATGTGGGGTCTCTTGGGTCAAGCTCCTTTGAAATATAAGAAGGAGATTAAGTGAGCAGAGACAGAGGAAGAGATGCTATACACTGCAGGTGTTTTCTATGTAACCAAGAAAGAAGCTGAAGAGAGACAAGAACTGCCCCCTAGAACCAACAGAGAGAATCCTCTTCCCTTAGAGCTGGTGTTTTGAATTTGGACTTATCACCTAAAAGAGAAAAGAAACTTCTTTTTGTTGAAGCCACTCACTTGGGTTATTTTTGTTATAGCAGCACTACATTACTAAGTTAAGAACATACTAGTGATTTCAGAATTAGCCTCTGCATAGCTGTTAAATCAGAAAATAGAATGTGTTGTCACAAGACTTGGGACTTTCAAGGGCTACTTCTTCTTTTATTTCCTCTTAAAATTTATTTTTGTGTAAGCGAAGGTGTACAAGTCATGTTGGTTTTTCCATGCAATTATTCATGGATATTTTGTTTTAGAACACGAATTGCCAGTGATTAATTACAATGTCCAATCAGTGTATTTCCTATTAGTGTAGAGTGTGTCTTTTCCAAGCCCCTCTCCCCAAGCAATTAGTTTTTCTTTTCTTTCCTTCCTTTTAAATTGGGATTTGGATGGAACTTAGCAGAAGGAACTGGTTTTCTATTCAGCAGTGTGCGTACCTTTGACTTGGTGCCACTGAGCGCCACAACACGGTGCAGCAGCACTCCCTGTGCTTTGTGTTCCTGTAATCCTCCTTCCTTCTTGATTTCTGAGCTTTCTACTAGAGCAAATGTCACCTTTTGGCTCTCAGGTGGCGGGTTCTCAGGACCATATTCCTCCTTAATACTACTGATCACCTTCTGGGAGTTGTACTTATGTCCAGCATAGCGAAGGTCCTTCTGCCTGGATTTGCCTGTGAGTTTACTGCACAGAAAACTTGATAGCAAAGTCTGGGCCTGCAGGGCACAGGGCTCTCATGGGAGGTTGCCTGGAAGCACCATCAAACAAACATAGAGACGATTTCTTTTAGAAAAACATACGAATTATGAAACAAAGAAATTTGCTAATGTTCTCCCTGCCCCTCCTCGCCAAATAGCAAGCTGCTGAAGAAGCAGTTTTGCAATAGTTTTCCTATTTTCTGTGGTGAATCTATCTTTTGGTTGGGCCTAGGGCACATGATATACA